TCTCTCTCTCTCTCTCTCTCTCTCTCTCTCTCTCTCTCTCTCTCTGTGTGTGTTGGACAGTGAGGAAACAGCAGAGTGCTGTGGGGAGGAAGTTCTGAGTTTTCAGCACGAGTTGCGGCTGAAGCAGCTTCGGTTGTTAATTTTTTAGAGGTTTTTGGTAAAACACAGATGGTGCATTTAAGTTATTTTTGGGAGCTACGGTTAAAGTCTCAAAGTTCTTGACGAGTCTGTTGCAGGTCTGTCGCTGCCTCGCTCCGACAGAGGCGGGGGAAGCCCCCCTCCTTCTCCTTCTCTCTCTCTCTCTCCGCCTCCGTGCGTCTTCTGAACCGAGTCAGGTTTATATGGAACGGGTTTTTGTTTAAAACAGTCCGAATCAAACGTCTACATTACACATCGCTAGAATTTATTGTATGCGGGAATTTAATGCCTTAAAAAAATTACGGACGGACGGACAGAAAAAAAAAGCGGCTTCCAAAGCTGTCGCACCAGTGCTGCAAAGTCTTTTTCTTTTATAACACAGGCAGTTTTTTTCATAGCACGTGCGACATAAATGTCGCACTGTACAGCCCTGGACTTATGTGAATCCAGTGAATTTTCAGGTATTTGTTAGGGACTAAACATAAAATATTTTCTCTGTCCTTACAGGCAGGTGTTCAGCCCGGGTGGTGACGGTGTCTCCTGGTCCGTTAATAAGAGTGGAGGGCCAGCCGGTCTCTATAAGATGTGACGTTGTAGAGTATGGAGGACCCCGTGAGCAGGTAAACATCTACTGTGTGTTTGTGATGCTTTGCTTGTCCAATTTAAAAAAAGAACAAAATCCAAAATGAAACTTATTTGAAGTGTTTTGTGAACGAGCCTTTAGACGCCTTCGTGTGACTTCTGAATTGTCTGTGGTGGCGAGGTGGGTCAAAGCTAACACACCTCTGATGGGTTGATTTATGTGCCGTGGCTCAGTGTGATGAACTGTGGATTAAGCTGCAATGTGATGTAGTGAGATTAAGGCGGCTACAGTGGTAGAAAATATTTGTGATAATTGGATTTTGTCAAAATACCATAAACAAATCTTATCTATGAGTCTCTTGAAGTAATTGTCCGAAACATAATGTTTACGAATGTTTTTGAACAGAAAAGACTTATATTTGGTCTGCTGTCCCTGTGCGCTGCAGAAGCTACTTTCAATAACAGCTGGGAAATCCCAACATCCAAACAAAGTTTGAGGTTTCCTCTTTTAAAGGGCATCCTCATTAGGATACACTAAAAATAGGAATCAGACCATTTTTTCCACTGGCTGAAGTGTCAGGATTATCATGTTTAGTCAAGACATTCACAGGAGTCAGAGTGTCTGCCACTGTTATGTAACAACGTTTCTCTGATTACTGCCTTAAAGATAATGTGAAACACACTGTAAGTATTATGGTTGTTTTTCTTGTGGAAATCTAGATTGCAACTGTTCTGTGTAAACAACATGAAACAGAATTTTATTTGTTCAAATAAGTCTCCCAGCTGTCAGTCTTTGAGTTCTTGAGTCAGTAAGTTGCTATCAGCTATTTGGAGTTAGCTCAGTCTTTTGGCTATCTATCATGGGAACCAGTGGATGAGTTTTATTAAAGCTTTCAGGAAATAACCATTTCATTTACGTCTAAAGCGGAGTAACCTTTAGAGTCAACTGAGTTCAAGATGGCTGCCACATCCAACTAACCCTAGGAATCACAGAATCTGTATAATTCAGTCAATTTTACAGGTATTGAGCTCAAATGTGGTGTGGTAGTTAGTAGCAGAGAGTCGTTCACAGCAGCCACTCCCAAGTGCTGCTCATTGCGCAAGATCTTTGACTAAACCTTTAGTTTAAACAACTGAAATCAATCAACTCTGTTTGTCTGTTAGCAAAATATCTCATGAATGGCTGGATGGATTTTAATGGAACGTTCTGGAAAAATTATTTAAAAAAAACCTGCTATAAATATGCTTGACAAATGTTTTACATAGCACTGGTCTGACAGATTTGCAATCTACGTTTTTTAAGGAACATGCGATAGGTGAAGCCACAGCATGGTTACCTTATCAATGTAATTATTACTCTTATAAATTACAMCATGAATCACAGACACAGACCCCGCATGCGACCAGTGCCCTGCGGGGCATTCTAAAAATTGTGCTCATCGGCAGCGGAGCTACGAGCTAATGTGATGTCCCTCAACATTTAAAAAAGTAACCAGAGTTGTTTGTGAACTCAAAACACCATAAATCCAGACAGAATGAGCTGCTGTTAGTCTACAAGTCATGCTGGACTCTCAGAAACACAGAGCTGATTTACCTGGAGCTCAGCTCACTCATTTCATCTGTATGTGTTTCTCTCTCTCTCTCTGTCTGTCTGTCTGTCTGTCTGTCTGTCTGTCTGTCTGTCTGTCTCTGTCTCTGTCTCTGTCTCTGTCTCTCTCTGTCTCTCTCTGTCTCTCTCTCTCTCTCTCTCTCTCTATCTTTCTCTCTCTCTCTCTCTCTCTCTCTCTCTCTCTCTCTCTGTCTCTCTCTCTCTCTCTCTCTCTCTCTCTCTCTCTCTCTTTCTCTCTCTCTCTCTCTCTCTCTCTCTCTCTCTCTCTCTGTGTCTCTCTCTCTCTCTCTCTCTCTCTCTCTCTCTCTCTCTGTCTCTCTCTCTCTCTCTCTCTCTCTCTCTCTCTCTCTTCTTCTCTCTCTCTCTCTCTCTCTCTCTCTCTCTCTCTCTCTCTCTCTCTCTCTCTCTCTCTCTCTCTCTCTCTCTCTCTGTGTGTCTCTC